CTGCAATACGTACACAAAAACATTTATTGTTGGTTTCCATAGTTTCATCTAAATAAAAATATTGTCAAGTTAACACATAATCTCTTGTTAACGATTGAAAGTGTTCTATCTGACTCAATAATTAAAAAATCAAATGCGTGGTTTATTAATATGGCTGTACAATATACCAATGCAGAATATACCGATATGTTACTGACATTAGGATTTTGTGAAGGAAATGCTCGAGAGAGTGTCAGGGTGTACTCTGAAAGGTTTTCAAATCGTCATGTACCTAGCCACCCAACTTTTGCTGCTGTTGAGAGACGTCTTCGGGAGACCGGTTCCTTTGCTCCCAACACTGTTGATAATGAAAGAGAACGTTTTGTAAGGATTCCTGAAGTTGAAGAAGACATTTTAGAACGTGTTGAAGAAGATCCAGAATTAAGCACCAGACGAATTGGAAGGGAACTAGAAGTAAGTAAAGATGTCGTTCATAAAGTGCTTAGAGAACAATTGCTATATCCATACCATAATAAGCCAGTACAAGAATTATTAGTCCATGATCCTCAAATTCGTTTGGGTTTTTGTCGATTTGTTAATATGCAAAGAGAAAGAGATCCAAACTGTGTCAAGAAGGTTCTCTTTACCGATGAAGCGGGTTTTACAAGAAGAGGTATAACTAATACCCATAATGAACATGTTTATGCCGTTGAAAATCCACATGCAATAAAGGTAAACCATTTTCAGCACGAATTCAAAATTAATGTGTGGGCTGGAATAATTGGCAATTTTATTGTTGGTCCTGTCATACTTCCACGAAGATTAACTAGAGAAAATTATTTGGATTTTCTACAAAATACGTTGCCAGAATTGTTAGAAGATTTACTTCTCCAACTTCGGAGAGATATGTGGTTTATGTAAGATGGAGCTCCACCACATTTTTCTTTAAACGTTAGAAACCACTTGAATGAACAATATCCACACAAATGGATAGGCAGAGGTAATGACGCACCTGTAAACTGGCCACCACGTTCTCCAGACCTAATACCGATGGATTACTTTTTATGGGGACATCTGAAATCCACAGTTTACAGGGAACCTGTAGAAAATGAGGAACAACTCTGGCAACGTATTCAAGATGCAATAAACAATCTTAGAGGTGATGAAGAAGTTATGGAAAGGATACATTTTAATTTTCTTCGACGTATAAATCTTTGTATGCGTGAAAATGGTGAACATTTTGAACAATTTTTGTAAAATCTCTATTTTGATTATGTTGTAAATAAATATTTTTGTGAAACCTATACACTCTAAATTATTAAAACAGAAATTTAGCGAAAACCATGAGATTAATCGAGTCTTATAAAGAGTACCTTTTTTAAAGTAAATGAGTTGCGCAATCTAAATTTCATACTCAAACTCCTTTTCTTCCATTGGCGTAGAATTTTTAAAGGTGCAATTATTTAAAAAATCAAGTTCTACGCCTATGTATTATTATCGGACAAAATTTTAATACCATTTTTTTGCCACATAAAACTCAACCAATATACCAAATTTCAGCAAAATCGCATAATATGCCGTTTTAAATTTATATGGGAAAAACGATTTAAAAATTGTAACTTCAAGGCCCTCTGGAGCCCAAACGAAGCAACTTTGTACAAAGGTAATTTTACTTAAATCGACTTATTTTGGTCTAAAGAATATGTGGTATGTTTTTGTAAAGACCTTTTACAGACACCCTATATAAATTTTATAAAAAACGAGTAATAAAATAAAAATAAAATTTTCTTTTAAATTTGAAGCGACCTAACAGGCAAACGAAGCACTTTGTGATATAGGTAATTATGGTTCAATCGACTTATTTTGATCTCACAAACATACAGTAGCTTTATGTACACGGAATTTTGGGATACCCGGTATCTACCTAATCGTAAAACCAATTCTATCCGTAAAGGTATGGGTAGATTGACTTGCACAACTGATATTAAAAAATGTGGTGGGTAAATTGGAGACATACGGGACATAATGATATATGTACATTAACATAAGTAAAAACAAAATTCTATATAATACAAAATAAATTTTTATATTTTTAAGTTTTGACGTGATTTGGCTCACGGAGTTTTACAAAATATCCAATAACTTTCTTACGATTTGGATCAATAAATTAAACAGCTCAGTCACTGGCCTATATGGAATTCAAAATCATAAATTAACAATTTGAGAATTTTCCAACGAACTTTGTACCTTTACGTGACTGAGAAATGATGCCAAAGTGTTGTGGAAACCAAGCAAATACAATATATAATTGAAGTAGGTATAGGATTAAGTACTATTTTTATCTATAATATCCCCGATATATTTGTATCAACGATAGACATTCAGTCACGGTATCAGATCCAGAGCCAGAACCGGATTTTTGACAAAGGAACCCGCCCGCGCTTTCCTTAAGGAGAAATGGTGTTTGGTTAATATTTCCAAATATTATCCAAAAACTATCACTTTTAGGGCCTATATTTTATTAAAAAATAGTAAAATAATAAATATACTGGGGTTAAAAAAATATGTTTTAAAATTTTAAAGAATGACATGTTGATGACCCTATATAAAATTCCCTATAAGTACATAAAAATTAAATTTTTGATTTCTCAGACGTTTTAGCTAACCTTGATCTTTCTATTTATTAAATATTTTAACATAACTGTGAATAACGATTTTTTCAAAGCAGAGCAAAAATTTTAAAATAGAATTATTAAATACACCTTTTTTTATTTGTTAATTAATCTTTTTGGCCGGCACATGCCTATCAAGACCATTAGAACAACTAAAGCAGACGCTGAGAGGTCGGCGGCCTAAGCGGTGCAGTGCACACACGCTATTTACTATTTAAAAATGAAATATCCATAAAATCTATTTTACGTATATTTTAGTATTCCTAAAATAATTTTTATGAAATGTAAATGAGATAATTGCATTTTTTGCCAGTTCTGCAGCTCTACAGCACCCAGTACCAAAAAAAAAATTGTCCGAGACTCAAAAGGGTGGTTCGTTTTTTAAAATTTACTAATTATTATTAAATGCCAAATAATTAAATGCTTTAACCCTTTCGCTACAACAGTCGTCAATGAGCAACTTACATAAGTTGCATCGTATTCCAAGAATAACTATGTGTATATTTAACCTCAATAATTAAAAAATATACTGACAATTAGTTTGGCAGAATTGTCACTTATTTAAAATTTTAAAAAATAATAGTAGTCGGGTGACCAAAATATGAACTGTGATTGGTGGATTTCATTTTTTTTGCCGTGTTTTAACTGGGTAGAATGAATATAAAATATATTCGTTCAGTTGAACACAATGGCATACTTTATCGTTTTGTAGTCTGTGCATAGAATAGCTAACATCCATGTGGGTGTAAAAAAAGCAATATTCCTGTCCGCAGGGTCTCTAATACCATCAGAATTCGGCCCAAAAACTTCCATAAAGCATATTTCTTTTCACGAAGTAATAATCATAAAAACATTTAAGGCGCTCATCTAAAGTAAGTTTGACTATTAACACCGATTTCGACATGATATCGACACAAAATTACGTGACTTTCTCAAGGCAGTAATAACTCTACCACCCTTTTTTATCCATCCAAATTCTTTCCCATCAAAGTTTCGACAAATTTACGTCACAAAAACTCATTAAAACTGGTATAAATACCCAACCCTGGGAACGTAAGATTCATTATTTTTTAAATCCAGTTTAATTCAGTTGCTTTTCAAATTTAGTAATATTTAGTACCTTTCCTAAATCGATACTCTTCCTAACTGACACCTTTCTTACCCTACCTCCTATAGACGCTCCTACGTCCCGACGGCCTAATTCCCGAACGCTCTCACGTCCCCATGCTCAACGTCCCTCTGCCCTACTTCCGTACCTCCTACGGCCCGACGTTCCACGTCCTGACAACCTATCTCCCGAATGTTTTCACGTCCCTACACTCAACGTCCGCCGCCCTACTTCCCTACCTTTCTACTTCCCGGCCGTCTACATCTCGGCGACTAATCTCCCAAACACTGTCACGACCCATACCACCTATTTCTTACCTTATATCCGTCCCAACGCAGTACCGTAATACATACCTTCCTCTCCGCTACGAAGCTAGGCGTCTCGACGCAAGGCGACGCTCAACGCAGCGGAATACCCAAAATCGACGCCGTCACAACGCTAGATAAAATAAGTAACTTTCTTTGAGTTATCATCTGAGTTTCGTTTAAATACGGGATGACTACGGTAGCGTAGGCGTCTACGGCGCGGCATTCATTTACGAGCCAATTTACTGGTAAATGGTAAATACTTGCATGGTTCTCTATAGGATTTGATGGAAGCCATGTTAGCAGAAATTTAATTTGTGTTGATATGACATCCAGATTATTAAAAAATCACCATGCGTTTCCGTTTTCTATGATGGTGGGTGGGGTTTTTTGGGTTTTCCTCACCTGTAAGTCAAATGGCACCATCAATCATTTTTAAGTCGTCTCGGAGCCCCTCGGAAAATAATAATAATAGACATCCCTTTCAACGGACAATCTCAGCTTTTGGGGTTAAAATTCATTCGTAAGGGGATGAATTAGGGAGAGTATTATTATTATTTGTTTCAAAATATGTAACCAAATAAACCAGATGGCCTTAGGGCATTTCAATAGAAAATATAAAAATCAATATTTTAGAAATATATACAGGGACGTATCCTTTTGGATTATTTATCTTAAGTGCTGTCAGAACAAAATATTTGGAAATTATATACTCATGTATCAGATGTATAAATATTTTTCATCGCAGTTGTCTCGAGAGGATGAAAAATGTTAAAATTTTGAAGGGGTATGTATAGGGTGGATCTGTTCTATATCGAGTGTGCTGAAAAAGATGATAGCGTGCCGGAGTTGAAAATGATTCTGAAGAGTTATTGAAAGAACTAAATGAACTGTTAGGAAATAAAGATATAGAAATAAGCAACTTAAAAAAAACTTATGAAAATTTTGGAGATTAACTTTTTTGAAATTGACAGAAAAATTACTTCAGATAGGGACGAGCAACCGATGCTAATAACTAATCTAAAGAATGAAATTAAAATTTTAACAGAAAAACATATAGATATTAGAGCAGAACTGGAACTGAGTCAGGAACATTTACTTGTAATGGAGAAAACTAAAGAGGAACTAAAGGAAATCCAAAAGAGATTGTTAATTTCAATTGAAACCCTAGAAAAGGATAAAGAAACCTACGAAAACGAGTTGATAGATCTGAAATCGACACTTTGTTATCGAAAAAACCCGAGAAAAAACCAAATGACCACAAGTGTGTTTGACTTAGAGCCAGGAAAACGCCTTTCAAAAAATGTATTAAATAAACGGGAAGTGCAAAGTACTTCTTCGAAAAACATATTAATATTAGGCGACGAAGCTGCTATTAACTTAAATATATGAGACGGTCTCCTGGATTCAAAAGTTTCAACATTCAATCTATTATTAAACCAGGAGTAAATTTTGACAATGTACTGAAGAATGTAGCTGAATTAGTAAAAACATTTTCATTATCTGATTTTGTGATTGAGGTAGCAGGTGCTAATGATTTTGACATGTCCAGGGTGCCTAAATTCAGAATAAATTTGTTCGAAACTGAAACTATATACCCACACTAACTTTATAATGGTGTCTGTTCCAATTTTAAGAAGACACAGTGACAAAACCCTAATCAAGAAATTTAATTTGAAATTAGACCATTTTCTGGATAAGTTGGACAATTATACAGAAGGTAGAATGTTATATGTAAATATCAATTCTGAGCAAGGTGCCAAACTAAAACTGGCCGATATCATACGAAAAATTAGTGTAGCAATAATAGCAAAAATGTCTGTAAAAATTTAAAATTTATTAACACTGTGAAATCTAAAAATACAAACTGTAACATGTCTACTAACTTGGGCTCTATAGATTTGACAGGTTTAAATAATTTTACTGTTCTTCCTATTAATAATAGTAACTTGGGCTCTATAGATTTAACAGATTTAAATAATTTAACTCTTCTTCCTTTTGATAATAGTAACTCGAGTAGTAACTTGGGTTCCATAGATTTGACAGGTTTAAATAATTTAACTGTTCCTCCTTTTGATAACATATCTATCACACTCACAGTTAATAAGGATTTTCCCACAAAGTCTCAAATTCAAGATCCAAATTAAAAAGTACAATAAATATATTATATTTAAATGCTGAGAGCTTGGTGGCCCACATTGATGAAATCTCTAATTATGTCTTGTCAAAAAAACCAAGTTTAGTATGTGTTTCTGAAACTTGCTTGACTGAGGATATTTATGATTCAGAAATAGACATTGACGGATACAAAAATTATAGAGTTGACAGTGAAAGTAGACACACAGGGGGTGCTTTAATTTATGTACAAAATGCTTTTTTTTATATATACCAATGATATCTTGACATCTGTAAAGTGTATGCCGATGACACCCAACTTTATTACAACATTGATAGTAATAATAATCAAGTTGCTGAATAAGCCTTAAATGAAGATCTTGATCTTATTCATAAATTGTCAATTAACATAATCTTAAGCTTTCACTTTAAAATAGTGAAACCGAAATGCAAACATACAAACTATATTTACGCACCTACTTGCAAGGTTATATACCTATTAGTACCTATAATAAATTAGATCTAAGTATTGTGACAATGCGTTTTATTTTTTGCACATGCAAAAAGTAGGAATTAGAAAATAAAACAATTCCAAATCAATTCCACATTATGCAAGAGGTTGGATTCCCTTCCAAGTTTAAAAAGTAGGAAGTTATTTAAAGAGAACTAATAGGGTACCTAGGCAATGCATTTTTGTACAATTTTTAATAATAGGTGTAAGTACCTGCCTAATAATTTTTAAAATGAATAACAACTACAATTTTACAATCTAACTCTGATATTGTTATTATGACTTCACATGTTATGTGTATTGTTTATCTCTTAACATATGCACATAAATTAACCTAGCAATGGAATTTTTATTTACTTCAATTCATGACAATAATTATTAACAGAATTCAACATTTTTATTGGAATTCTATTGATACTGGGGCTGAACATGCAAAAGATGTTTAAAGAATTTAAATATTAAAGCCTACCTTTGACCTATAACATGAGAGGTTCAATTTGATAACAAGCAAGTGGGTTGAATATAAGATAACATTTTATAATAATTTATTTTCATATAGCTAAGTACCTAATATATAGGTATTTTGATTTTGTTAGTATTTCTGTTAGCACCTGCCCATAAGGCAAATAATTTAAAAATTATTTTGTCTAACCTGATGAAGGCTTAATTAAGAAGGTACCTAATACTTAAGTAGCAAAATGAGAATAAGTTTAAAGTAGATATCTAAAAATGATTTCTGTTGACAATTTTATGTTAGCAGCTGCCTGCATTTTAAAAGCCTCCCGATTTTTACAAAAACGTATTAAGTAATTGTTCATTGTTTATACAACATACACATAAGATTATAATTTACCTTATGCAATAAATTGTTAATTTGATAAATATGTGTACAGGTACCCCTACAACCTAACCTGTAATAAAATGAATGGTAACGAACGTTTCAAAGTCAAATTTTTAATTATGATTACATTTTTCATTAAAAAATTTATTGACGGTTACGAAGAACCCTTAAATATTTGATAACCCTGAATTAACACTTACCGAAATCAATGAATTTCTTTATGGACAAGGGTGATGGGTTAAACTGCGAATAAAAGTCCAACATCTTAGCGATGCTTTGAAAATGTTTCGGTGACAGTCTCATGTTTATTATTTTTTAATACACTCTGATTTTAAAACGCACTCACTCCGCAAAATTCATAACAACACTAAACGAAAACGACCTTTTATAATTATTATCATTAATAAATAGAACTGACTTGAATAGTGACAGTGACGATTGACGAAGTTTGGAATATTGAATTTTTTACTGGCACTGACATCTATGATAGAGAAGTTGGACCTCCACTGTCAAAATATAGAAATCATTTTTCATACCTACTTGTGATAAACTACCAAAGAGGTTAGAAAGGGTAGAGGTAACATAGGAAGCATTTGTCGCTGCGCAAATTTTGCCAAAACCGAAAAACTGGGTGGAAGGAGTAGGGAGACGTTCATCTGGGCCGGACTTAAATATTTGTATTGTAGTACCTAATTTTAGTGGGTAACTAAAAGATGAAAAATTATGAGACGTTTTTTTGACTTTATTTGTTAGCACGATTCATGTATGATGAGGGCAATAACACTTATTAATATATAACTAGTTAAGGGCCGATTCCACCGTTGTTTCAAACGAAGTTTAAATTATTAATGGCAGATTAAAATGACATTGTTAATGTAAAAATGTCATTTTAAACTCCATTTAGTAATTTAAACTTCGTTTTTGTTAATATAAAAATGTCATTTTAATCTTCGTTTAGTATTTTAAACTTCGTTTAACAAAACGGTGAAATCGACCCTAAATAAAAGTTTATAAAATTATTGCAACAAAATAGCTGTTGAGACAATAAGTTATCGAAACAGCCAAAGTACTTTTTGCTCGAATTACACACAAGATTTATTGTACGATCATACCAAAATAAAATAAATAATTAATTTATTAGAAATGGGTTACCTTTTCGTTCGTTATAATATTTTAAGTTTATTTGACAGACCTACTCTTTGAAGAGAAAAAAATGTTTTGGTACTTATATGCCGGTAATTATTTATGATTTAATTATTTACCGAAAATACCGTTCAATGAATTAAAATATTAGGAAGTCAATTAATAGTTATTTATGTAACCAGTTACGAAATGCCTTATTTTGTGTAACGAGTAAATATTTGTGGAACGAGCGGAGCGAGGTCCCGAAAAATGAACGAGTTACACAAAATGGCATTTCGTAACGTATTTACATGCAAGATTTTTTCTAATTTTGACTTAAATATTTATAAAATTGTGTTGAAAAATGACTCACCATAATTCTTCTGTAGGTACTTCCAATCAAATATTTGATTGCCCTACGACGTTTTTTTTTTCAATAGTAATAATAAAAATAAGGGACATGTGCCGTGTTGCCGATCTAATTTTTGACATTACCAGCAAAAAATTTGAAAAAAAAACATTTTTACCCTTTATCCTTAGGAGTACGTCAAAATTCTACCCCCAACATTTCTGGGCCGTTTTCAATAACGGTGTTATTTTAAAAATAAAACGCAATTTACAGCTTTTCTTTTTTGTTTTCTTTTTGTTGTTAAATGTAATGTCATATTTTCAAATTTGAAATGTCACTATTCATTGCCTTTTTTTTGATATTTGGTTTTTTCGATTTTTCGTTTTTTGGATATTTGGATTTTTCGATTTTTAGATTACTCGATTTTTCGATTTCTCGATTTCACGATTTTTCGATTTTTCGATTTTTCAACTTAAAATCCAAAAAAGGGGCAGTTTTATTTATTTTCATTTCGTAACTGGTGACATAATCAACTTTTCGTAATCAGTTGCATAATGTTCTACTTTATGCAACTGGTTACATAAAGTAGATCGTTTTGACACTTGCTGCGATTACAAAATATATTACTTTATATGTAAAAAATGCAGAATGTAAATTAAATTGATAGATCCCATATTATTATAGAGCAGTGTTTCTCAAACTTTTTTGGCGACGGTACCTTTTTGAAAACCGAAATATTTAACGCAGCCCTAAACACATAAAACACATCATTTAAAAAATGTATTTCAAATGTTTCTTTATTTTGACTCTCATTTTGACTTTCAATAGGTAAACATGATAAAAAATCGGCTTTATATTATGCTCCGATTTCACATATTCAATTTGATAATTGTAATTTGACAATATTACTGCCCATCTACGTAGTCTGTTGGCTGAAAATTGGAGTATACATTTAGCTGGGTTAAAAATAGTTACCAGAGGTAAGTGATCTGTAACTAGGATAAAGAAATGTCCATATAAATATTCATTAAATTTATTTAAGCCAAAAATTATTGCAAGGACCTCTTTTTCAATTTGGGAATATTTTTGTTCGGACTTTGATAAGGTACGCGAAGCAGAAGCTATAGATTTCTCAATATTTTTTTCAAAAATATGACATATCATAGCCCTTATTCCCACATTTGATGCATCTACGAATAATTTAATCGGCAACTCAGGCTGAAAATGCACAAGATCATCATTTGTTGTTAATTTATTTTTGATTTATTCAAAAGATTCCTTGCAAGAATTATCCCAAATCCATTTCACCCATGAAAAATAAAATTAAAAAAGTCCTAAAGCAAAATCATATCCTCCTTCCTCTTAGTGTCTTAAAAAAATTACTTCTCAAAAAAAAGTCCTCAAGCCAGGTCCCTCCATTTTGTGGCGATAGAACTGTTTTTTTTTTTATTGTG